ATAAGAGCAGGTATTGTCTCAAAATACAGTAATAATGGAGCTCTCATTCTCTGTCCTAGGTGTACTTCCACTGCAGTGCTCTGCTCTGTGACCGTTTCCACCCAGACTCCCCACTGTGCATGGCAAGATGCCCAAGGCCATCTAGAAGCAAGCGAGGTAACGCCCGAGTAGTTCTTTAGGTTTCACTGACCCAAGATAGCCCCCTGCACTCTGGGGTTCAACTCTGCTGTGTCTGTTGCAGAAAGTGGGATGCCAGAGGTGAACTCTGCAGTGGTGAGCCTGGGGGGTCCTGTTCTCCTCGTGCCAGAAGAATGGTCCACAACCAGAGGTACTGAGCCAGTTTGGTGCTGGTGGGTGTTGTGTGGGTTTAATGAAGAGCTGTCTCCACAAACTACCTTTCCCCTTGCTTTGTAGGGAGCACTCTCTTGAGCAAGGAGGCATGGGCTGGCTTTGCAATGACTGCTGTTGGTATTCTCTCTCTGGTGGCTACAATGCTACTATTTTTGGCTCTTCTTAAATGCTTAAAGAGAAGAGCGTACATGGTAAATGTGGTACATTAATGTATATTGCCAAATAAACTTGGAGTAGTCACTCTGTCAATTATGTCTGTCATGTATTCCCTCTCCTACATCTATTTATGAAATTCAATACTTCCGGTCCCCTGAATATGTTCTTATTGTAGATTTGGCTTCAGCAACGACTATAATGCTTCATTTCTTGAGTGTCTTTGTTCTGAAATTGCCCACTGCTGTGTTAAATTCCTGTTGGACTCTGCAGCCAATTTGCTTTTTGAAGTGCTTATCAAATACCTTTGTTCAGAACTGTAATTTCATTCAAATGGGTTTTTAAAAATCCATATTGTACCAATATCTGCGGTCTGTGCAGCTCCTCCAAATCTTGAGCCCTGTGCTGCAGCTGGAAATTAGAACTTGGCTTTACTGACATTTGGTTAGCAACACACCCAACACTTGTATTAAAACATTACTGTAAAAAAACCAAAACAAAACAACAAAATTGAGAACTATGAAAGATCTCTGAAGGAGATCTACAGTGGAGCCTCCCTTTTTAGAGTATAGCAGTCTAGAAGAACTTCAGGAAAACCAAAGTGGACCAGACTTTTTCTGCTGCCAGAGCTGATCTTTCTGATGGCCAGAAGCTTCATGGCCATGTAACAGGAGCGCCAGGAATATATACCCTGGAGTCTCAGAAAACTGAGTGAGGGGCAAAAGGGGTACGACCATCAGATAAAGTGGTCTTGTCTGCAATACTTACATACTGAGGCAAAATCTTTCTGCTGATGCTTAGAAGAAAAGCTACTCATTATAACTGTTTTCCTCCCCCTCTCTTTAAGAGTTATAAAAGAGGGAATGCATAGCATTAACTAATTTCAGTTCACTTTCTGTGTTTTCTTTATATGCCAGTTTTTCAATATTGTATAAAAACTAGAAAATTCTTCCAGTTTATTAGCATGCCAGAGGAGTTGATAATGATTTCTCTTGTCACCTTTTGCTATTACTTGAGCTCTTAATGCTCTTTCTAGCACACCCAAGAGCTTGACTTTTTCATATGTTCCTCTCTCTTCCAAATCGGAGAAAGTTTGAAGGTAATTACCATGTAAACTAAATAACACTAGGTTGTGGACAGAACAGGGTTTAAGTAAGTTTAGCCTACAGGCAGGGAGAACAGAGTTCTAAAGCTGCCTTTGCATTAATACAAATCCTCTGAAGACTGGTTGTGGCACACCAACTTCATTAGGTTGCATTTGACCTGTGGCTTCCTTATGGTCTGCTTGGTTACAGCAACTGCTCTCTACTCCTCTAGGACTTATCATTGGGACAGGTCTGTTAGTACAGCAAGTTAACATTCAGTTTATCTCCTACTTCTCCCACTGTCACCAGTATTGCAGTTTTAGTGCGTTCACTTGTGAGGTGTAGTTTCTTTTGCTTTTGTCTTATGCCAAAATTTTCAGGGAAAGCTTATGTTCTTAGCAGTTACTCCCCTTCAGCAGGGTAAGGAATACATTGAGTGTTTTGTTAAAAGTTCAGTGTATGTTTTTAAAATGTCACTGTAGTTGTTTGTTGCAGCTTTCAGTATAGACAAGGACAGCACTATCTGCAGATGTAACACTGCCCACCTGAGGTGAGGCAGTCTCAGTCATGCTGTTGTTTTCTGTCTTGTATTTTGTACACATTGCTTTGCACAGTCAAGGAAATAAGGCATAAAATACAGTTGCATGTGACAATGAAAAGGGATGACAGTGCTTTGCACTAGGAGTGTAACAGCCTTGGGTTAAATACTGTCTGGCAACTCTGTGAGCAGGGGCAGTGATCATCACAAGCCCAGCTCCATGTTCTTTGCACGTGCAGGGCTTCAGATCAAGTCGTCATGCAGACCCTGCTAATGGTCAAACATGCTATACATAAATAGCATTGGGCTGGGGGCTTGTCTGCCACAGCCCTTGCTTCACTGAAGCATTATTAATGGGCTATTCCTCATGCAACAGGTTTCAGGGGACATTTTTGAAATATTAATGTATATTTCATGCAAAAAGAGCACAGAGTACTGAGAACATCAGTGGGAAGATGCTACGCTGGTGTTTAATTAAAATTATACTGTCAGTATAAATAAAATGAAACCATAGATCTCATATTGGAGCTACTTATTTTCAAGTCACTTACTGTCTGTTAGATAGAGGTTAGGGTTGAAGTGGTTACTTAGGCTACTGTCCAGCAAACCTCCTACTATACTTAAGTCCTATTGACTTAGCACTTGGCTGGAATATGAAGTATTTCTGCAAATGCCAGTAAAGTGGTGCTTGGTGAAGAGGGTTATGTACTTAACAGCATGTTGTACTTACCTGTATAGGCTTTTAGCTCTTCTGATCTAAGCAAACCTAATACTCTTAATATTCCCTCTCTCCATCCTTCATGTTCTGAAGCGTGGGGAAAGATCAGTGCATGTTCAGGCAGAGGTTTCCTTGTTTCTCATTGCTGGATGGAGTCTGTGCTAGGATGGTTGGAGTTTACTAAACACTGTTACAGTGATTGTTGTGTAAACACACGGGGAAAGAAATGCTAGTTTAACATTCCGCTGTGTTTAAAATATTTCTCACACAGCTTGCATATATGAATCTGGAGACTTGCACTATGAGGTTATTTAAAAGACCTCATGTGTCCTCACTTAGGGAAGAGGTGACAGCTTTACTTTTGTTCTTTGACTTCTGTATTTTGTACTATTTTTACTGCCTGGGGATGCGAGACAAAGGCTGCACACAGTGACAGCCATCTAGGTCAAAGGGAGGGTTGTTCTTGCCTGGCTTCTGTCCCTGACTCATACTGTCTGCCTAGGGGAAAATTGTCAGATGTGGCACATGAGAGATCTGCCTTGGAGAGGATTAAATAGAATTCTCCTGGGGTGGCTTAGTTGTGCTCTATTTGTGGACATTGCAGGGGCAGTTTGAATGAAGACTCGTGTAACTTATTTAAATCAAGGAAAGCACAGGCTTTTATTCCTCACTTTGTAAATAACTTACCTAAAGCCCAGCCACACACATTCCTTCCCTCTTCCTCTGTGTGTGCTGCTGCCTCTCAGTCCCTTGCTGAAGTGTGTTATCAGGAAAGTTTAAGCTCCCCTTGCAAGTCCAAAGGATTCCTTTACTACGCTCAGGTCTGTCGCTCTCTTCTGACACAGGGGAGGGCAAAGTGGAATGATAATGTGCAGCAAGAGGAGGCAGAGGAATTAGTCACCTGTTTCAGGTGTAGGCAGCACTGGCTCTCTGCAGCCTGAGCTCAAACAGCTGCTTCAGGAACTGTAGCACAGTTGGTTGCTCCAAATTCCCTCAGAAAGACTTCAGATGTTTTGGGTCCCCCACGATGTAGGGATTAGGGCTACAAGAGTGGTTGCCCATTAAGGCGTGTTTATGCCTAAAGTAAGGGGCAGTGAGCTGGATCCTTAGGGCTGGGTAGGCTGAGACCTGGTTGGGAATGGTGCCACTGGGATGTGAAAGTGTCCTATCAGTTCCTTGCTGGGCTGGTGCTGTTCTGCAGGAAGCTAAGAGAGCAACGGAGAAAAAGGGGACTTGGCAGCATCTCCCCAGCCTCTCCTGCTAAGGGCTTCTTAGCTCTACTGCAGTGTTTAATAATTTAAAGAAGAAAACAACCTATGCCCTCATTTAAGGGATGGCCTTACTGACTCCAGTAAAAACACCTACTCTGTGCTGACCTAGTTTTTTCTTTAGCATATCCCTATGGAAAACCATACTAATGCAGTGATGGCACAGCACAGAAAGCAGCTCTTATTAAAAGGGCACAATGAGAAACCTTGAAGTGACAGACTGACAAACAAGTAAAGGTCAGGGCAGCAGGAGTGAAACTGTTCCATGTTGTACCTGCTGGTAACTGAGAATTCACAGCTTTAGCTCCTGATAAGTGCTGATGACACAGCAAATTACATAATGAAAAATAAATTTAAAATGCAGAAGGAAATGGTTCATGTGGGGTCAGACTCTGAGTAGGAATAAGTACACTTGCTCTAGTGTCTGCTGAACTTAATGGCTGTTCCCTGCAGCAGAAGATAAGGGTATAAAGGGATGGCTGGCTAGATAGCTTTGTAATATTTGTTTGCTAAATTAATGTGCCATTAAAATGAAGGGCTCCTGGAAATCTAAAGATTATTTTACTCTACTGCTGAAGTATGCAGCCAGCTTACCTCAGGGGCTGAAAATATTACCAATACTGTGTGGAAAACATTACAGCTCAGATAGACTTTGCTTCAAGTTGGTGCCAAATAGCATGTTGGTTCATGAAAAACTAAGTAAAACACTAATTTAGATCTTAGACTTCTGCATTTTTTTACTGGGATGAGGAGTAATCTACAGTTTGTAACTCAGCAATGCTGGCCAGCCACAGTACTTTAATCAAGGTGAAATGTAGCTTACCTCAGAAGCAGATGTGGAAAAGTTGTTTTTATTATAGAATACACAGAATAAGTGTAAGACAACCTGGTTAAACAAACAGCACTTTATTAAACTAATATAGTTAGATAGTTTCTTAATGCTTAAAAATATAATAGCTTTTGCAAAAACAAAACAAAAAAAGTTTAAATAACATACAAGAAGTTACAACCAAGAAGCAGACCAGGCAATTTAAATACCTAAACAAAGAGGAAAAAATGCACCATTTAAGCATGCCGTAGGTATAATGAGGCAATGAGAATAAGAAAAATATCCCTTTGGAATAATGCAACATCGACAGGTATATAAAAGCTTAGAGCATGACTTGATATATGACAAAACCTTATTTTCCCTGTATAATAAATATAAAGCATTAGCATGGTGTGCTCATACTATTTTAACAAAGGCTGTTAAGGCTTACAAGTATTTTTTCCACATTCAAAATGCATTCTGAGTGTGTTCTGAGCTTTGGTACTTCTGTTTCAAAATGACCAACTGCTGCACAAAAATTTCAAGAGAATATGTCCAGAACTCCAGTAACTAATGAGAAATCAAATCCCCCCTCTTTCTTTCACCTAATTACCACTGACTTAACAGCACCAGTCACCATCACCTCCCTTCCCCAAGCTCTGTGGAGCATTCATACACTTACTATTGCAATACACTGCTGCTTAATGGTTACTCTTAATATCCATTTTACATTGACTATGTAAGATGTACATTGATTCTTTTCAGTTCCCAGAAGGAGCACACAAAGTCTGAATGCTCAATGAGTAAACAGTTACATAATGAAGCTCAGAGCTGGACAGTTAAGTGCCTATGGAGGAAGTGGGGACAAACCCACTTACTCACTCTTCCCGTTATTGGCAGAAACATCCAAGCCAGGCTTCTTCTGTGGCAAACTTCCATTAACATCTTGCTTCCTTAGCTGACCCCTGTATACATAAGAAAAGAATGGCTTTACAGTCTATTCTTCCCTGAAATTGTTGTATTTTTACTTTTTGCTCAAGAAAGCTGAGCAATGCAAGATGTAAACCTGTCTGAGGTTCCTGGACCATCTGCTGTGGGTCTACTGGATCTTCTTTCAAAAGGCACAGGAATGTAAAAATAGCAGGTATTATCTGTTTTAGCATTAGAGCTGTAAGTCAATATGACAGGTTGGGTTGTGCACTTGATATACTATGAAAAACAGAAATGTTCTGGAACTGGTGGGCAATGTTATGGACGTGGCAGCAATGCCCTGGAGAGGTGGTACAGAGCCCTGGAACAGATGTGAGCACACTGGGCTTTGCACCATGGTTTTGTCACCCTGCTGGTACCACCAGCTCCACAGGGAGCTCTGTGCTGAAGGAGCAAACTGAGGAAGTCTAGGAGGGAGCAGCTGTAACTTTCTTTCTTGCTCTTCCCTATGCTTAAGTGATTATCACGATTCCTACCCTGGCAGGTATCTCAAGGTGCCAGAGGTGGCACTCCAGCACAACCTGCCAGTGCCTCCTGCTCCCAGCCAGGTGCTCATGGAAGTGTGGCTGAGGCAATGCTGACTGCAATGGGCTTCTGAGCCCAAAGTCCTGGGAAATGTGAATGGCGAGCTGCACACGTGCAGCATCCTGCACAACCTGTTATTGCTACTTTGACCACACTGTCCCTTTTAAGTAACACTCTGCCTATCCTAAATCTACAACTAATTTTGGTCTATTGCTCTACAAGTGCTGGTAAGCAGAGATAGCTAGGTTATCACGGAGGAAGAACTGCAAAAAGTTCATTCTCTATACAAAATTTAATTTGGTAGCATGTTTTAATAATATTTAAAGCAACAAACTGCAGTGAGACAAAGCTGTATTTTATTGAATGTGTTGTGTTAGCACATGCACATTTAAAAACCATTTACATTTTCTCTTTCCCAAAAAGGAAGAAGGGCATGTATTAATTCTTACTGAAATACATCTTGATGACTGCATATCGGTACACTGCACATTAAGCAGTAGCCCAAGATTCAAAGCATTCAAGAGACTGTTAAATTAAGCAACTCACTTAGAATTAATGCAGTAGTCAATGCAATAGTACAGTTGCAGAGTTTGAAATCCAAGCACGGACCAAGACATCCATACTCACCTTGAGGAACACCAGTAGTTGACCAGAGTTGAAAGTGCAATGTAAGAAATACTCAGGACTCCAGAAACTCCCAGGGAAACTGCCCCCAGGCCACACAGCACACACAGGAGGGCTATGCCACCTATGGCTATCACAACACCTAATAAAACAAAAGCAGTTATTTAAACAAGTTTATGTACAAGTAAATTAAAGAAAGCCGACATTCTACCACAACCACAATTTCAAACCATTTGGGAAAACAATCTTCCTCAATCATCTGGCTGGCCTCTATAAAAGCTATCCATGGCTAAGATAACTGGTTTAGATGTATCGTGGTGGCTGAGATTAGAAAGGAAAATAGGATTTCCCCTGTATAGACTACACTTAATCAGATTACTATTCTTATATTAATAGTTTTACTGCTGCTGAGACCTGAGAACTACACACATAAATCCTCAACTGCTCAGACTCAGAATTCCAGAAGGAAGAACAAAAGAAGGAAAAGATAACATGCCTTAAAAGGGAATAGGTAAGTACATACATGCCTACAGTACCTTCCATGACTATCACACCAATACAGGCCATCACAGCTGTTGTAACAACGAAAATCAGGAAAAATGCAACAGGAATAGCAGACACTGCAATAAACATCAGGAGTGACAAGGCAACAAAAGGATGGTCATCTAAATATTGGCCAACACGAGAATTCATAAATGCAACAACCTGTGGATGAAAGAAAAACATTTTAGATTTTAACTCTTGTCATAGATAACTTTCGCAGATCACTGTTAATGTAGTGAACTACAGAGAACATCCTTTTGTAAGTCTGCAGCTTGAACAGAGGGCAGCTGCTGTCTGTTTCAAAAGCATGGGAACTTGTTGTAAATTTAGATAACTTCATAGCATATGAATAATATACATATATAATAATTCTAGCAAACCCAGACATTGTTTCTCTTGGACTTCCCAGTTCTATTCTTGCATAAATTAAAAAAGAAAAAAAAGAAAACCCAAACAATCTGAAAACAAATAAAAAAGTACATCACAGTTTAGCTGCAGATTTCAGTGAGGTCTTTGTGACTATTACTTTGATCTAGAAAACTGTATCTGTTAGGAAAAAAACCCCCTGTTACATCTAAAAATTATGATTTTTCTTCTATCCGTGGCTTAGTAATATCTGCGACCTGCTTATTTATTGAATTTAAGTACAGTATTGGCATGTCTGTATCACAAACTTTTTAAGAATTTAATTATAATGTTACCAGTAAAAAAAAAAATTCTTTTCACAAAGGCAGTCATATCTATACACTGGAATTTAACTGAAGTAGGTTTCCATCCCTTAAGGAAATACATATTGTAGTTTTAGTTCTTTTTATAGCAGCACAACCACTTCACTAAAATGCCACTCTACTATATCTAATAATTATGCCAGTAAAATACAAAAACACGGAGCAGGCTTCCCTTTTTCTTGATCGCTGAAAGCGTGGGAGGACAGGCCTTCTCACAGGCCTCACAGTTCTTACTTTAAAAAAAGGAGCGCATTTAAATAAATTGGCATATGACATCCCAATAGTTACTAAAGGAGTAACTTTATAAATATATAAAATTACATTCCAGACCCACATTTGCGTTGCTGTGGATGATCTGCACCACAGAGTGCCATTGCTTCTGCAGTTCCTGCATTTCTTTAGATATGTTACAATCCTCAGTCACGATCTCTTCTTCTGGACTACCAGTTCTCACCCAGCCATCCAATTTTCCTTGAAATTAAGGTACAGTTAGTAAAAGGTTAATACACGTGTTTTTGGAAAATGAAATGTTTCTTCTGTATAAAGAGAGAATGTAGATGCCAGATGTTGATGTGATACACAACGTGACACACTGCTTTTACCAAAGCACATCTACTGTACAGGGCTTGTCCCTGCAAGCTCTTCTGGAACTCCAAAAGCCAAGTATCAAGATACGGACGCCTCTCACCTTCTTTCTTTATAACATTAACCCTGTGTTTAACTGTGAGGGTTAGCAGCAAAAACAGATCGGTTTTAACAATCTGCATAGACAATTTGTTGCTACTGGTGCTGGAAACTAGTTAACACACTAATGAGACTGATTTTCTTGTGCTCAGAATTGAAAACATGCCCTGTACAGCTTCAAAACTCTGTGTATAAAGGAAAAATCTGACAGTTTAAAGGAAACCTCAGCTCAGCCATCCCCCTTCCCCCACGACCACTCCATCTGTTGTTGCAGGGGGAGGTTAAAAGACGCATTTTCCTGTTTGCAGACCCTCGCAGCCACCGCGCCGGTGTCACTGCTGTGCCCTGTGGCCACGGGCCCTGCGGTGCTTTACAGGGCGTTTTCACGCCCAAGGTTGAGCTCTGGCCGCCGGCAGCGCCGGGCAGGAGCCGCCCGCGGGGCGCGCCCGAGCCCCGGGCGTTACCCCCGCCCGGCCCGCGGCCTGCACCGAGAGCCGAGCTCAGGACGCGTTAATTAGTCACCCCCCGTTAATCACCGCTGCAGCCGCGCCGCCAGCGCCCGGCGGGTCCCCCGCGGAGGTGAGGGGGTCCCCAGCGCCGGGGCCGCCAGCCCTCCCGCGGCGGCCGGGCCGCACGGGCAGCGCCGGTGGCCGGGCTGGCGGAGCGGGGCTGCCCCGCTGCCCGGGGCCGGCCCGTCCCTCTCACCTGCGGCTCTGCCCGCCGGGCCGCGGCCCCGCTCGCTGCCGGGCCTGCCGGGGCCCAGGGAAGCGCCGCCGCCCTCCCGCCGCTGTCTCCTCCCCGCGGGGGCCGGGCAGGGCCCGCCGGGCGCGGCTCCGCGGCGGGTGCTGGGCGAGGAGCAGAGCGGGTTGGGCCCCGCAGGGCAGCGGGGGCTGCGAGGGGTGTCCCTCTGGTGCCCTTGCGCGTGGCTCTTCCTGCCCTTCACCCCGGCCCTACCTCAGCCGCTCGGGTCCGGGCACCCTCAGGAGTGTCCAAGGGCTTTGTGTTGTTTTAGGACGCGCAGCCCCGTGTTTCCTGGAATTGAGGGTGGGAGATGAGGATATGTGCGGTATCCGTGCCGCTGTGCGGGCGTGCTGAGGCACGTTCGGCCCCGGGGCACAGAATCGCTCTGTGTGCGTCTGTAATCCAGGAATGGCTCAATGTGTGTCTATAATCCCACCGTCCCCAGGCTGGGGGGCTGCTGCCATCGCAGTGGGAGGCAGCCAAGGCACCTTGCAGCGAATTGCGGCTGTTCGGTCACGCCCTGAACAGGCAGCTGTGAAACACATCACCTGGCACAACCACCTTCCCCCGTCCTGGTTACTTGTTCCCACACGTTTCCACCCTGTCCCGAGGCCTCCACGGGTGTTTTGGTGGCCACGTGGCAAACCTGTCTGGGGAGGTGCACCAGGGTGAGGAATAACTGCTTGAAAAACTCACCTGGGTTTTCAGCAAAACCAATGAATCCTACAGTGTCTCAGCATTTTGGATGGCACTGTTCACCTCAGCAGTGATGCTCGGTGAGGTGTGTTGCGTGATGGTTTGGCCTGGCTGCTTTCCAGAACCACCAGGATGATGTTAACATGCAAGCGTGAGGCTTCAGGGAATTCCCAGCTTTTGCTAGGTGGAAGTTTTCATGCTGTAAATTACAATAAGTAAAACATTCATGTTTCTCATGACTGCTTTAATGATTTTTGATTGCTGCAACCTAAGAGAGTATTGCAAAACTGAATGGTAATGGTTTCATGATTATGTTTTTAAAGGCAACAAAATAAATAGCATGTTTAATTTGGAGCGTGCTGGTCTTACAATGCAAAGAGAGATTTTATAAAGTCTGGGGGTTTTAACCTATCAGTCTGTCAGAGCTCTGTGTCTTTGAGATGCTGATTTCAATGATTTCTGTAGGTACAAGGATTTGTGTAGACAGTGGAAGTAAGAGTTGTATATTAACACAAATTTGGACCATGGGCTCTAAAAGCCCAGCACAAGATACCTGCAAGAGGAGGATAGTGAGGGTAAGTTTATTTTGCTTGCACTCTTAAAGTGTTTATCTCACATATTATTAAAGGTGCATCATGTATTCATATTCCTAGTACACTAGTGTATATAATAATAAATTTGAATTTGTTGATTTTGTATACTTTTTTTTAAAGGGAGCATAGGAACAAAGTAACTGGCAGAATTATAGTGTGACATAATCCAGTGATAATGGCACTATAAAGTTTAATGGCTCCACTGCGTTGAAAGTATATTGAAGATTTTAAAATTCTGGCTGTTTTTAAACATGTCATAGCTGTGGTTTGGAAGATAGTCTTGTACATCTTAGTAAATTATTTTCCTGCTATTCATAATTATGTTTTCTGCTGAAAATTCATGTATAATCTCTTTCTATATAAAATACCTAGTTTTAACGTTTCTCAAGTAGCACAAGTCATTTATTTAACTTCAAAGGGCATGAATATATGAGCAGCTGAGTTGATGTGCACAGAGGAACAGTAGTTACTCTAAGTGCTGCTTAATTGAGCTTGTCTTCATGCCAGTGTCAGCTCCAATTAGCAGGAAAATACTCATGTTGCAAACCAGCACTGAAATATTTGGAGAGTTAGGCACACAGTGGGCAAGCAATTACCAGCATCAGCAGTGCTGGTTCTGTATCCCACACTGTTTAAAAAGGAGCCTCGTTTTTGGTAGGAACTTTCACGTCTGGCCAGGCAGGAACAATATTCCATTTGTAGTTGGTATTACATCAAAATATAAGGAAAACTGTTAATAGTTGACTCAGGGATGTCAGCCATTCTCACAACTTACAGAAAACTGGAGGAAAAAAATAGCATCCAAAGATGGTGGGAAAGAGTTTAAAATGGAAGTCTTGCTTTGTTGTCAGAATATGGACAAGGCCTCTCTTGAGGGTTGGTGTAAAGAGACTGTGCTAGATTTCATGTTGGGTGGTAATAATTCCCATTTGTGGAGAAGTCTGATGGAGGACTCTTTCAGGACATGGTGATGACTGTGAGTGGGAGGCAAGTGCATACAAATGGACTTAGAGGAATTGGGAGTATCCCACCTGCTGCCTTCAGATCTTCAGGGAATTTGATTCTGAATGGTGGAAAAGTGTTGGAGATGTTTGGGTTCAAGATTTTGAATCTTTAATATTTTTTTTTTGTAATTCCTTTTAAGAAAATATGGGTTTATATGGCCTTTACTGGTTCAGGAGGTTCCTTGCTCTGTGCAGTATTTTCATGCAGAAGTCAGAATATCTCAGGTGTTTTAAGACTACATTTTTAGTAGCTTTCAGAGGTAAAAGGAGCCTGTACAGTTCCTCATTGGTTCCACAACTGAATCTCCCTGACCACAGCTTGGCACAACACTGTGCTGAAAGGGGCTGTTTTCTCTCTGCTGGGGAAGGAGAGGGAGGAGGGAATTCCTGTCTCCGAGCACCAGCTATGCTGTAACTGGGGCAACAAAGCTGAGGAGTGAGAGGCAGAGTGTCAGCTGGGGCAGGCAGAGGGACTGGTAACAAGGACACCTTGCAGGTAGTACCTCCTCTTACCCTGCTCCCTCATGCATCCTGTAGATGTGTAAGGCATGCTGGGCATCGCTCTCATTCTCTTTTCCCATTCCTTTTGAGTTGTGCTTATTTCTCATGGCAATTAATGTGTGGCTCTGTCTGCTGTAAACCATAGTTGGGGGCCCAGAGTCCCTGGGGTATTAAAAGAGCGGGAAGGAAGCTGGTTTTGGAGAAGGTGGAAAGAGCAGGGCAGGAAAAAATCTAGCTTGAAAGATTTTGAAAAATCTAGCTTGAAAGATCTGGGGAGAGTTAGAAAGATTAAGGTGAAAAGTCAGCTTGAGAAGAACGGAGAGAAAAAGCATGAAGGTTTGGAGGGAGGGAAGGTTTACCGTTGTAAACAAGGCAGGGAAGAGCTGGGATTCTTCTTCTTCCTGGCAGTTGGGATAGAAGCTGATTGACACCTTGTATACTGCCTGAAATGAGTCTCTCATTCTTTTACAGAGTATGTAACAACAAGGGTGTTTATAGTGAGGGGAAGGACGGAAAAATTGTAAGCAAACAAAAGACCAAAACGAAATAAAGCCAACCCAGAACCTGAGGCTCCTGAGGGTAAGTTCTTTCTGCTGGGACTGTGAAAGATCAGTAACTTTTTCAGAACTGCAGATGAAATTGGCCATTACTGGTGATTAGTGGTTTGACATTGGAAGAACTCTAATTAGAAGACACTTGTTCTTGCTGAATATTCTTTAGATCTAATCCTTTATTATGTACTTATTAAGGATTCCTTTGCTTAAATATTTAGCTGTTTGAAAGGTTAGTTGGCATCTAAGTCAAGAGTTGCTTTAGAATGAACAATGGCTTTTTTGATGTCTTGTACCTTTATGAATGAATGACTCTCCTAATAAACTTCATAGTTTATTCATTTTTAAGGCACCCTAGGGCCCAATCCTTTAGTCATTAATCAAGAGCAATTCACGCTCTCTTTAATGAATTATGTCTGGCAGTAGTAATGTCTTCATTTCTCTGTGTGTGTGTGTGCGTGCAGGCATGCTGGGGAAAAACCAAGCAGGTAAATCAAATCAGTCCCTTCTCAAATTTTATTTCTAAATGGGCTCTAATTTGATATTGAGGAGGTCACAATTTTGTCTGCTGGAAAACTAGGTTCCAGCAGCCTAGTTTTTCAGTGATATATCAGAAAGCAATAACCCTGTGCTAAAAATGTGTTACAATTATGTAAAAATGATTACGTTATTCAAACATAATTTTTTGGGGTAATGATTTCCTCTTTCATGGTGATTTAACTCACTCGTGATCAGTTATCACATAGTTCTCACCTTCTCCTTCTGGTAGTGTCACTGTGTAGTCAGGAATTTGTTCCTCATGAATCTCCTAAACAAATAGGATTTAGGAAATTCAGAGCAGACTGTGAGTGAGGCTTTGGCCTATACTAAGGAAAGTTGCCATTCAAAAGCATCTTAAAGCACTGTGAGACTAAGTAATTCTGAGAAAATATCCTGAGAGGACTTTATATGGAGTCTTGGAAAGCCATCTCAAAGTATTGGCACCTTGAGAAGGTGGAACATAATCCTAAAACATATCAATTCTTCTGACATTTGCAGTAAAACACTTTGCTGAGTCCTTGTGAGCAATCTGTTCTTCCAGCAGCATCCTGGCAATAGTTTGTTCTGGAACTGGATCATTATAGACATGAAAAATTTGATTTGTTTTTTTTTTTTCCTGCCCAGTAATATTTAACCCATGACAGTGGTTCACACAGCTTCACTGTCAATTTGGCAGTCTGGTAGGCTTTAATATTTTAATATCCAGAGTTTATACCA